CCGGCATCTTTGATTTTTGCGGAGTCATATATAGATAAGGACACATTATTTTTTTATTGAGGTGCTAGTATTTACACAGAAAATACATTATGAAGGGCGCTGTTGCCATATTTTTGTATTAGTTGATATTAGCAAAGAATATTATTGTTTGGCTTTAGTTAGTTGTTAGATAGTATGTCTATATATTTCTGCATTTTTTATTAATATTCTGTTGTTACACTGCAATAATACTTTGTTATTTTGGATGTAGGAAAATTATTTTAATGTTTTTAAAGCAAAGACTGGTTTAATAAATAATAATAACAGTAATAATTTGTTATACCTATTAACAACAAAATTTAAAATCATTTAATATAAATATTTTTTTTAAGTAGTAGCAAAATATAAACAACAAATTAGATGTCAAAATTATTTATATTAGATTCTATTTAAAAATAATATAGTCTCTAATTTTTTGGGCAACGTTGGTTTATTAAATAATAATAATTACAGAACTAATTTGTTATATTAACAACAAATTTTAAAATCATGAAATATAAACATTTATTAATTTTCTAAGCAAGCGGTGTAATGGAAGGAAAATATAAAAAAAATTAGAAATCAAAATTATTTATATTAGGTGCTTTATATTACTATTTAAAAATTATATTTACTTTTACTGGCATTTACTTTAAAAAATAAATGAAATATTTCTTCGCAAAAACTACATGTAAGAGAATTAGCATAAACAAAATACAAACATCGTTAACTTTTTTTTTAAATTGGCACGTGTAAAACTTTCATTTTAATTTTCTCACCCCATAGTTTGAGTTCGATAACCATTTACTTAACCACATTACTTTAATATGATTATTAAGTTCAACTAATTCATATTATTAAAACATCTAAAATACAAATATGTACTTTTAAAATTAATTTAAGTTCATCTCATCTCTCTTAAAAATTGCTACTTCTCAAAATTTCCCATTAAAAAATAGACCATATACCATATAAAATTAAATAATTGAAAGATCGGACTACGGAAAACCACACAACTTTTCGGAAAAATTTTGACCACCTGCACATGCACACAATCGTCAATAAATAAAATTAAAAAATAACTACTATTTTAGTATTTTAACTATTTTAGTAAACGCAAAAATAGCACAGTATTTATACGGTGAAGTTATAAAAATTTGGAAGAACTAATAATGCACTGACGCATACAAAAATCAAACGAATACTAAATTTCATTTATCAAAAGCATTCGATAGTCGTGGCTCAACGATAACCATTTAGTCGCACGGCGAGGTTGTCACATATGCTTTAGTTTACAAATGAATGAATGATTTTATTCGAATAAAACCATTCGATAGTTGAAATCATTCATTCATTAACCATTCGATAGTCTAATTCATTTGATAGTTCCCATCGCTAAAGTAAATGTTATCGAACTCAAACTATGGGATGAGAAAATTAAATTGAAAGTTTAACACGTGCCAATTTAAAAAAAAGTTAACGATGTTGGTATTTTGTTTATGCTAATTCTCTTACATGTAGTTTTTTGCGAGGAAATATTTCATTTATTTTTTAAAGTAAATGTCAGTAAAAGTAAATATTATTTTTAAATAGTAATATAAAGTACCTAATGTAAATAATTTTGATTTCTAATTTTTTATTTATATTTTCCTTCCATTACACTGCATGCTTAGAAAATTAATAAATGTTTATATTTCATGATTTTAAAGTTTGTTGTTAATATAACAAATTAGTTCTGTAATTATTATTATTTAATAAACCAACGTTGGCCAAAAAATGTAAAGACTATATTATTTTTAAATAGGATCTAATATAAATAATTTTGACATCTAATTTGTTGTTTATATTTTGCTACTACGTAAAAAAATGTTTATATTAAATTATTTTAAATTTTGTTGTTAATAGGTATAACAAATCATTACTGTTATTATTATTTTTTATTAAACCAGTCTTTGCTTAAAAACATTAAAAATCATTTTCCTACATCCAAAATAACAAGTATTATTGCAGTGTAACAACATAATATTAATAAAAAAAATGCAAAATATATAGACATACTATCCCTAACTAACTAAAGCCAAACAGTAATATTCTTTGCTAATATCAACTAATACCAATATATGGCAACAGCGCCCTTCATAATGTATTTTCTGTGTAAATACTAGCACCTCAATAAAAAAAATAATGTGTCCTTATCTTTATATGACTCCACAAAAAATCAAAGATGCCGGCTTCTTTCATAGCATTGCCACCGACCGCTGTCAGGTTTCTCGGAAAGAAACCTACGTCGCCGGGCGACAACTAAAATCCAGTTAATATTTTATTATAATCGATCCTGACGAATAAATGAATTTCATAAATGAATGAATTTTATAAATGAATGGTTTTTGGTGCCGAATTACTAGAATACAATATTTCAAGGCAGATGACGCATCTATTCGATAATTTTTATTCGAATAGTTTTCAACGAATGTTTTCTTACTAGCTATCGAATTATTCGAATGAATTGCAACTATCGAATGTTTCGATAGTATTCATTCGATAGTTCCCACTACTAAAAAATATGAAACAGTGATTAACTAGCGGTCTACCATTTATCGGCTTATAATCCACGGTATTGCGCCTCATGAATAGAATATACAGAAAATTATTTAAAAAATCGTCTAGTTATTTATTAGTTTTGTTTAAAGTTTAGTTTAAGAATTTGGTTTTGTTTTTCTAGTTTTAATTGACTGAATCCCTGCTTAATAAATACTAGTCTAATTATAATACTAAATGGATTTATCTGAAACCATGCTGGGTGCTAATAAAAGTATCGTTTACAGATTTTTCTTAAGAGCAATAAAAGAACATTGCTTTTAAATAATGTTTGTGGACCATATTGTCGACATCGGGTGAATTAATAATTTGCCCAAGCGAATATATTGATAATGTTACCAGTATTACTCATCAAGCAACACTCATCATCATGATGAGTGTATGTTTGAGTACCAGTTTTACTGATCAAGCAATACTACTACTCTATTCTTATATTAATCAATTAAGGCCGTAAACAAACATATCATATACAATTTTATATACTAATTCATTATAATAAAATTAAATCATAAAAATATTGTAATTATATTCCTGTAGTTTAAGTGAAAAGTTTTGTTCCTAAATATCTACTATACATATAATAAACGCGTGTTCAAATATTAATTCTGTGGAATATACAGGGTGGTCCGAACTGTATTCCGGAAACTTCGGCAGCATATTCTGCAGATAAAAATAGGTAAAAAAGTTCCAATAAATGTATGTCCTAAAATGCTTAGTTTCGGAGATACAGGGTGTAGAAATTTCATATTACTTCCATTTTTTCCAAATAATTTCTGAAATAACGTGAATACTTAGATGAAAACTGGCGACTGGCAGTTTTTTGACATAAAAAAATTGATTTTGATGTCAATATGACTCCTATTTGTAGAGGGCGCCACATACATCTATTTTAACTATTTTGAAGAGAAATAACTATTCGTCCGTACCTGTATAAAACTACTGGTTGAAAAAATATACATTTCCGTGATTTTTTACTCAAAAAATGTCTCTTGGCAAAAATCGCTACGAGAAACCGTTCTCAAGATATTTAGAATGGAAATAGTCAATACATGTCATTATTGACAATAAATAAACATGTTGAGTAGATAGTTATTTCAGTAAAATGATAACTAAAAAAAAATCTTCGAAAAAATGCTGATAAAACAGTTTCTGTTGAACTTTTGGCATAACACATTTGAAATTTATGATTTCAATCTAATAACTATTTAGTCAACATGTTCAATTTATGTCATTGACGACAGGTATTGATAATTTCGATTCCAAATATCTCGAGAACCATTACTTGTAGCGATTTTTACCAAGAGACCTTATCTACGAAAAAAAGTCGTAAATGTATATTTTTTTTCACTCGGTAGTTTTATACAGTTACGGGCGAAAAGTTATTACTCTTCAAACCAGTTAAAAATATGTTGATGGCGCCCTCTACAAGTAGGAGACATATTGACATCAAAATCAAATTTCTCATGTCAAAGAACTTCCAGACATCAATTTTCATCTTAATATTGACGTTACTTCAGAAATTATTTGAAAAAAAATCGAAATAAAATGGAAACTTCTACACCCTCTATTTTCGAAACTAAGCATTTTAGGACATACATTTATACGAACTTTTTTACTGATTTTTATTTGCAGAATATGCTGCCAAAGTTTCTGAAATACAGTTCGGACCACCCTGTATATCAGTATAACATAAAACGAGATGTAATTAACGAAATATCATCGTAACAACAGCTATTTTAGAAACGTCTAGCTTTACTTATTTCACTGAGATTTATGAAAAAAAATCCTTTGCCTTGGATACAGATAACGCCACATTTTGGAAACAACTCAAAACAAGACAAAATTGAACGAGGCTACAAAAAACACCAAAAAATCGCCCCTCGCCCTCCTCATGAGTAGTAGGCGCTTTTAAGAATCAAAAATAGGTCGAGGTAAACCGAAGTGGGCCAAGACAACTCGAAATAAATCAAAATGCGTCAAAGTTGGGCGACGAAATGCGACTTTGACATGTTTCGAAGAGTTTCTCTCATAGTGTAGACGCTGTTTTATATATTTACTTTGTTCATCAACAGTCCCTGCTGAAAGCGTCATAATTTACAGGAACGTAGATATCGTGTGATTTCTAGATTAGGATTCCTTAATCAATGACTATTCTATTGTTAATAGAAGCTTCACATATTGATACTGCTTTTATATGAGTATTCTAATGTCCCGCACCTTCATAACCCATATATCTATCTCATCTCCTATAAGCCGGTACCGCATAATTTAAAGTCCTGTCCGGCGTCGGCATAGACACCATCGAGTACCACGAATTCTTCTGCCGCTCGATCGCCTTCTTCGACCTCCGCTCGGCGACACCCAGCCGGTACGCTAGTCAACTCTCAGCTGTTCGGCCAGCTAACAGCGTACCCCGGAACTAGGTACGCGCTGCGCTCTCCTCGGTCGAAGTACCGGTACTCCGGCAGACCGACGAATATTTGTTTATTTTCCGTGTGTGCCGTGTGATTTTCGATTATTTTATCGATGGACGGGATTGTTTTATTGTTTTGTTTTAGAAGTAACTGAGTGGGAATGTGTTGTATTTTGGATATATTATTGCTTTGGAGGTGAGTTTGTTTGTAAACATTTTGATAGCAATAAATATTATGCATTAGATCAGTTATAAAATAGTTATTTATTTGTTAGCTAATTAATGTGAAGCTGATTTTAAAATAAATAACAATAAATGGTAATTATTGTTAGTTAAGGTTTTATTTTACAGGATTATTGGCTCATATTTTGGGTTGTTACTCCATTGCATAGTACTTAAGATTTTGACCTAATTGAAATTGTTCAGAAAAATGTAGTTTATGCTTTAATTACAAGAGGAGTATTTTAAAGATCATAGACTTGTTTTAGGTTCAAGGGGTGAAATTTCGAAAAGTATAATATACTATTTTTTTTATTTTTCTGTGCGTGCCGTTTAGTTGTCAGTGATTTTCGATTTTTTCCCTGATTTTCCAATTTTTCCGGTTTTGTTTTTGAATTAACAGAACAAAACGTGAAACGTGCCGTATTGTGAATATATTATTGTTTTGGAGGTGAGCTTTCTGTATTTAAATATTTTAATAGCAATAAATATTATGCAATGTATTTTATTTGCTAATTTATTTAATTTATTTTATAAAGGACTATTATTTATTATTATTATTACTATATTTGACTCAATTATTTTGTGAAATTATTCGGAAAAATCAGATCTATGTTTTCTAAGTTGAACATAATTTGGGAGGTCTTGATTACCTACTTCCAATTATAACAAGATAAGATGCAAAAGACAACATTTTAGATATACACGGTGAGTCTTAGAGCGCTTTCAGATGGAGCGGACCGAACACGCGGAGCGTCCGCGCGGTTGTTTTTACAATATAGCTCATCCGGACGAAGCATACGCGACCCATGTGAAATCGTTCATATAAACTCATAGTACTTGCCCGAAGTGGCGGACGGTCCGTCGCTGACGCTCCGCCCTATCTGAAAGCGCTGTTAAATAAGTGCGTATATTTCCAGTGCTGGTAGATCTCGATAAAAAAGACATATTTTCTCTTTACCGTTTTTTAAATAAGACCAAAATAACCGAGTTATTTTACTCTGAAAATTTCCAAGAAAATTATTTTTGCTTAAATTTTGAGAACTACAAAAAAATTATGTTTTTTGAAAAGACAATCATTTATAGACTTGTTCGGTTTTGATATTTGAACACCGGTTTAGGTTAGGTGTTGATGACAACCGGTGTTTCAGTCGGTGCACCGGGGTCAGACGGGTGTTTCAGTCGGTGCACCGGCGTTGTTTTACAATACCGGTGCTCACAATAGTTCACATTGACACCCGTGTTTCTTTCGACAGTCCTAGATACTGGCTACCGTCCCAGATACTGGCTTTTGTCAAAGCCCTGGGACTGTATGATGAGTTATGATTCAAGAAAGGGGGACACAATGGATCTGTAAGGTCGAAGTGATTAACCTCCCTCCCACTCATTCTAAATTCTAAAAAAAAAATTCTTTCGACACCAGTGTTTACCTCGACACGGATGTTCATATCAACACCGATTATCCGACACCTACTTACTACGTTAAATTTGCCAGTTTGTTATATCTCAATACGTTCTGTTTTTGATTAGACACTTTTTTACTTTATATTTCTTTATCAGATGATTGCACTTTATTTTAGTGATTATTTTGGCAAAAAATAATCATCAGTATATTGAAATTTGGAAGGATTAAGGTGAAGTCGGTATGCTTCACTAAACAATAAAAATAAACACCGATACAACATTATTATTACTATCAAATTTATTGTCAATTTTTTAATAATTAAAACTATATTCCTTTGTTAACCCGTTTACCAAATCGGCGATGCCGATATTAAAATCTGTGCCATAGTTAAAACCTGTGTTGAGACTGATGTGTCGAGATGTACATTGGTGTTTATTTCGACACCGGTGTTCATCTACAACACTTGATAGTCCATACTCGATTTGGCCATCGGTGCAGCTCAACACCGGTATTAAAGCAATCCGAGTTGCAGCAGTTTTTGGAATAGGCCTAAATCATTATCCTAAACTTTTATATTTCCATTTATATTTATTCCATATTAATGTCCATTATTGAATTAGTTTATCAGATATGTTAACATGACAATATTGAGTATTATTAATCATTAAAAATGTGTACTCATCTTAAGAAAACGTCTAAGTTTTCTAGTAAAGAGAAAAGAACGAAAGCGTAAAATTTTAACGACACACTAATTTGAGTAAAAGTTTATAAACAAGACATTTTCGCTGATGAATTAATTACAAAGTACTAGTTAATAAGTATATAAATTGTTATAGTTATATTTAATCAAAATATTAACAAGAATTCTATAAATCTACATTTATAATAGATACTCTGTTTTAATGACACAAATAGCTTAAAGATGTTTTCGTTTTCATTTTTTAGTTGTTTAAAGTTAATTAAGTAATTACTATTGAATTAATATAATATAATGACTGCAATGATATGACATATTTTGCAAATATGATATAAGTAATTTTATGAAGTTTCTTCTATTTTTAGGTAAAGTGGTTAATAATAAGAATTAATAATATTTATATAAACCTTTGTTAACATTTTGCTGACAAAATTAACACCATTTAGTCACTATGTTTCATTTAAAATATAGTTATTGCCGTCTAAGGTCAGTATTTATTTAAAATATTACCTTATTATAGGATGGTATTCTTTTTATTTTTCTAGAAAATAATCGATTAATAAATGAAAACTTAATATGTTAACCCATTAGCAAGCAATGGGATGTCAAAAAGGGGGTCAATGTTAGTTGGGAACTATTGTGAACTAAAGGCCTAGTTCAAGGAACTATTCTTCTGGAGGAACTAGAATTGAGGAACTAGTTCCTCCCAAGGAACTAGAATTCCCACCTCAAGGCCTTACATATCGCAGTGTTTCCTGCTCCTTAATATTGTAAAAAAAGCGCTAAAATCTAGTAGGCTCCGTGTTATGGCAGCGAATTGGCTAATTATTTTTGGCAAGAAGCTTCATAAATTTTAAATTAATTAACGTTTGTGTTTATTCCTGATTGGCTATCTCCAATGAACAAAGGATGCACTTAACTATATGGAGGAAAATGGTGGACAATAAACTTATTTTGATTCTAAAAGTACGTAGTAGTTCTATATCCACGGAATATTAGGACACCCTATATTATTATGTTATAAAATAAATTATTAATCCTATTTAGAACAGAGAAAATTCATAACAACTTTATTAATATTAAGACACCTGACAAAAATATTGCAAAATTGGAACGATTTTATCTACACCTTCGTATAAATCTTCAATTCAGGTCATTATTTTGGCTGATTTTTATAAGGTTATATAAAAACCGGTCAGTAATAATTATTTATTATTTATTGCAAGTTGTCGCAATTATGTATTACCTATTGATCGAGTGCAGGTAAATATTAAATCACCTACATGTTTTCGTAATATGTATGCAACAAGACCTAATGAAAGGTATGCGTACTTGAGAGTCAGCTGATCACTTTCTGCAGTAGGTACTCGGCCTGTAAGAAAAAAATCTGAGTTACGTGATATTCGTTGCACTTTTATTAGCTTGCGGTCAGTCAGTGGCGTATCAATAAGCTAGTTTTCTTTGTAGGTATTATTATTTTAAATATCAACAAGAGGTTAAAAAAACAATGATAATCTAGTTTCCGTTTGGATTTTACGCAGTGGTATTTTACTCAAAATAAGCATTTTATTTTTTAGATTTCTCTTTCAGCTATTGTGGCAAAGTACCTAGTTTGTTTCATGAAATATTTACGTGGCTTTACACAATATTAAAAAATCAAAAACATTTTTAATTATTAAAATAAAACAAATATTTTTCAGCTTTTAACTTAAGCATATACCGCGTGTTTCTCAAAAGTGGTTCACACCTATAACTTTTTTTTATTTTTTTCAGATAAAAAACGAGATTTTGGTACGTTAGTATATGACATAAATGAGGATTGATTGACGTATTTAATTATTTAAGGGTGTATTCCGTTGTTTACCTTGATTATGGTTTTATGTTCCGTTTCTTTCGGTTTCCTGAAAGTTTTCTTATTACGGAACACGGTTCCTGAAAAAATCGGTTATAACTGTCACCAAACTAACCAGCCCGAGAAAACTGGTTTTTCTGGTTTTGTTTGTCAATCAATGTCGTCTATGTGACAGAAATCAAGCAAATATTGAAAGTTGTTAAATAGTTGAATGGAACAATAATTTAATAAAAACCAGAGACCGCGAAGCGGTCGAGGGTTTTTATTTTAAAATTATTGTGCATTCAACTATTTTCTAAAAAGCAAAATCATGCAAAATTATTTGGGTAGTTTAATCAATTAAATTTATAGGTTGATTTATATAATATACGGCTAGATTATTTCCTGAATGACTTAGAATGAAGCGAATGACTTAGGATGAAGCAAATTGCTATAAAATTTTTATTAACTATAAAATTTTGGACAACATACTAAACCGTGAATTCATTTTCACTACATCGGTAAATAAAATTTAAAGACGTTTCAAAATGACGTCTCGTAAGTAATAGCTTACTTCGGGTTTTTCTTATTACCGATTCTGAACCGTCCTAGAACTGCGATACGCATGCGCAGAAGGAAATATGGAGACATTATTTCATTAGCGCATGAGCGGCAGAGTTCTAGGGCGGTTCAGAATCGGTAATAATAAGAACCCGAAGAAAGCTATAGTTTGTGCTTCTGCTACCTTGGTTACGCATCCCAACAATGCATCGAGGACCGTTTCGCATGTCAACATATCAAATTCTGACGTATTTTTCTCCACTTATTTGTTCAAAATAATATCGAATAAGGGGTTTTCACCGATCAAAATCGTTATTAAATCATACATATGAGTTGTAAATCAATATTTTTAAATGAACTGGTGCCATAATTTCTCAGAATTAGTGATAAAAGACAAAAAGAAAACCCAAAAGGAAGCCGAAAAAATAATCGCGGTTAAACTGGTCTTGGAATTTAATCACTTATCTAAACAAAATTTATTCG